GGGTTAGCCAGGAGTTTGGAGGGCTTCTGGGGAGAGGAGGGGCTCCTGCAGTGTAGGAGGGGACATGATAGATGACTCCAGGGAAGACATCAAGTGCCAGACAAGCTGCCCCCACACTCTACACAGAATCAATTATTCTCCATTTGCCTTTCCTCCGACTTATCAGAGCTCCTGAATCAGACATCATTCAGGTGTCATGCTGCTTCATGACTGCTTATCTTTCTCCTCATCTTACTGCCTCTAGGTCAAGGACTGTGTTTTATTTGTCTCTCATTCCTTCATATTTTGTCTGGCCTGAACCAGAGCCTGAGAAAACCAAGGCACACAGCTAGGGAAAGAAGGAGCTGGAAGAGACCAGCAGGTGGCCAGGATACCCTGGTGTAATGCCAAAGGAACACTTAGCTGTTTCTGAGACTCTTAGTGGTGTGATTTGAATAAACAAACAGCAAGGCTTCGTTTTCACATGTTAACTTAGACCTACAGGAAAAACAAACCTAATTTTAATTCTGATATGTACTTGACCTCTTTACAAATGAATGAAGAAGCAGACACAAAAAGCTGAGTAATTTGTTCAGAGTCACACAGCTGGGAAGCGGAGGAGGCAGGATTCAAACCCTAGAAGTTCATGTGCTTCATCTCTTAACTATGTTCAAGAAGGGTGGCACCGGAAATCCCCACTGAACTCTGCTGGCTTGTAGCTGGATGCAGAAACCGCAGTATGAGTTGATCAGGTGCCAGTGACCCTGCAGGTAAATTTATCCCTTGACTTAGGCAAAGGCTGATCTTCAGACTTGTCAACATGTAGGGAATTGTTTGACAGTTCCGATTGCTAGGTACCAGGGCTAGAATTGATGCTCAGAAGTGTTGGGATCTAAGGGAGTGTGAGTTTACATACACCACACCCACCATACCACATGGACACTGAGCCAGTTCAAATATAAAGGAGTGAAAGCAAAATGTCACCTTGTGTTATTGATGACGGTAATGAAGAGGTGCAGTTGCTCACCTGACATGTGTCATCCTGAGAAGCTAGATCGTTGTCTGGAGGGGGCTTCCCCATAAAACTCAGAGCAGTTTGAACGCACACTCCTTTGACACCCTAGAAGAAGGGTACAGAAAAAGGAATGGAATGGAAGAAGGGGTTGGAGGATGAAGAAGAGACCAAGTAGGAGAAAGGGATAACAGAAGCAGCTAAGCCAGTGAGCCAAGCTTCCTCAAACTACCAGTCAAGTAACCCCCTCCACACCCATGGAAGAGTCAAGGTTACCAAAAGAGGCCAGGAAATCCCTGCTCTGGGGACAGGAGAAATAGAGGGACACAGCCTCCCACTATTAACTTCTATTTTGAAACGCATTCCCAGAACAAAAACCCATGACATTTCTGCAATGAAGGCTCCTAGACAGTATTTAGAGAAGCAAAGTTATAGAACAGCCTATACTTTATGCAGGATGGCCTCCGAAGAAACATGCGTGGATGCTCCACTCTCTCTCAGAGTTGGTAGGCTAGGTCGGACGATGATATTTTACAGTGTTTAATAGGTTTGGACTCCTGTTATCGCCACTCAACATATGTGAAGTCATTTAAGTATGTGTGGGCACAAGAGCCAAAAATCTAGGAGACCAGTGAGAAGTTAAGGAATTACTGTCAAGGCTGCACGGCAAGAAAGCAGGGCAGGAGTCCAGGCTCTACAGCTCTGTTGCTGCTCATAGCTCCCTGTCCCTCGCTACAGACCTCTTCAGGGTTGGGAGACACACACTGAGCAGACAGCTCAGGGGCTCACAGACCCACATGCAGAACCCAAGGCTCCTGAGAGAGTAATATGGAAAATTTCTCTCCCTCACTACTGTTTTAATAATTGATAAAGCAGCTAATGAATACTCTCAAAACAAAGTGAAGTCTTATAGATGTTGATTGTTTCGCTTTTTCTCAAAGGTAGATATGAAAATTATAATCATGTTGCTCGTTAAGGATTTTTACTTTTATTTTTTGATGAAGATTGGGTAAAAGGGTTGTGGGCTACCCACAAATAAATGCAGCTCAGGTACAACTTAAGAGAAAAAGAATTTGAATATTATCCTCGGAGGTGACTTGAGAGTATCACTGAAGATTCTTAAGTTCAGGACTTTCATGAACAATGTAGTTTTCCACATGGGAGGCCAACACCTGTGTTCAACACCTGCATGAAAGATGCGTTGATGCTGAGGAGTGAGGTGAGGTGAAGTGATGAACAACTCAAGAATCACAGAGACAAGAGCTGGGGCTGTGCCTCAGTGGATTGGCACTTACCTACCTTTCATAAGGCCCTAGGTTCAATTCCCAGTATAGCCATGGAAAGAAAAAGGAACCATTGACTTGAGGCTGTGTTGATTGCATTGATAATGCTTTATGGGCCTGGGGATGATGGCTCAGTCTGTAATGTGCTTGCTGCTCAAGCATGAGGACCTGTGTTCAATCCCCAGCACCCAGTGCTAGGAGGCAGAGGTAGGAAGATCCCTGGGCTTCAGTGAGAGACCCTGTCTCAAAAATTAAGGTAGAGAACAATATAGGACGACATGTCAGCCTCTAGCCTTCATACATGCACACATGAATGAGCATACCTGTATATCCATGTGCACACACTATACACACAAAAAGAAAGGCAGAGACATGGACACATGCTAATATGAATAGCCTTCCCAGTCAAGAAAGATTTGCCCAGCAGACTCATTTATATAGGAGACATTTGTTAAAATATCTACTCTGTGTGAAATATTACCCAGACCTTGCCTCTGCACTAATGTAGGAATATGGGGTGTGTTCAAATGAGGGCACACGTGCCTGAATATCACCTGGTCCTTTAAAGGCACAGACACCAGTAGGACGTACCAGGTAAAGATGTCTATCACAGCACTGAATGTAAAGTGTAGTTGAGGCTGGGGATCACACATGAAATGTCAAGCCCAAGACTGTGCACAGTGGACTAGCAGGGGCAGGTGCAGTCCTGCTGAGGGAGGGCTGAGTGAGACCATCAAGAACAGCAAGTGACACCCTACATTTTTGTTGGGTAGAAATGAACTGTGGCCAGTAGAGGACATTTTTGAAATAATAAGCAGAGGCCAAATAAATTGTGTGTGGTGCCAAAATACAGAATAGGATATCTAAAGATGGTCATATTTGAGATACAGATGGCTACCTGTAATGCACTCTTATTCCCCTTTTCTAGGTTCTGCATATATGATATACTTTATCGTGCCACAAACAATGGTAATAATAAGTGGGGCTCCTTAGTAACGATGAGCCATTATCCCCAAGGACCACACTTCTGCTTTGTGTCCTGCCCCGACCTAACATCACTAAACAAGGTCTCTAAGGCCTAAGATTCTACACACAGCTTCTCAACTAAGGGGACCAAGCATTTTACATCCAGCCATTTTGCACCAATACTCCACGCTCGTTGCATGTGACTTTGTCTCTTATACTCTCAAGTTGAGGATTTATTTTTCTGAGGAATTCTACAAGTTTTAGATGTGATCACATGCATTGACAAAGTGGGTGGTAGAATTTTTTCCAGGCCTCTAATTTATGTATTTGTGCTGGGGTGATGATTTAGATAGCAGCTCAATAAATTGATCAAATAAATTATACCAAACCCTCACACCATCATTTCAGAGAGCTGTCATCATACCAAGGAAGTCCTATATCACTCAGCATGGTATTCCAACAGAGCTGCTGTGTTTTCTTCACATGCTTTCAGGTTTGCACTTGCTCAGAAAGCTCTTTATTTCTCTGATTGACCAGAAGTATAATGGATTTCACTTCAGAAGGCAGCAGTTAGGTATGAAAGACAGTGATGATTGGTTCTGTGACTTGTAGTGAATTATTTAATGTCTCTAAGCCTCAGTTTCCCTTTCTATGAGTTAAGGATTTATAATACCTACTTCAACCATTTGTTGGAAGCATTGATACATTGAAATATAAAGAGGATCCGGGTATCAGACAAATGCAAATTCATGCAAATTCATACCTGAGCTATATCAGGTTTTGCATTGGTTGCATGAGAGCCTCATTTCCCAGTCAGTAAAATGGGGGTGATAATCCTAATGGAATACCTCCTACCTACCAGTGTCTTACTAGATTGTCTAAATGAAGACAGGTAGATCTGATACCATAACCACCCAGAGACTCATTCCTACTTACACCCCAGAAGTACATCCCTTAGTGATGAACTGCTGCCCTAAGTATGAATAACACCCTAGAGATACATCCCTAAGTGATAGACTATAAGGCTAACTCACCTGAGAGGCTATGATGCACCATGGACAAGGCCAATTATGGGGACAGAAAAGTAATTATCCCTCCAGATTACACTACTCCATTGTACATGATGTTGACATGATGCTGGTTGACATAGATGTATTTTAGAAGAAGCAGTAAGGAATAACAGCTCTATCAGAAGCTGGTCACAGGATGGTTCTTTCCTGTAAGTTCTCATCTCATCAAATAAAAGTCATTCCTTATTCTCTGATGTGAGAAAATAATCTCAGTTCAAAAAGCCAATAAATTAACATACAGTGGAAAACATCACATTGGAATGCTTGAAGATTAGTATGTCAGGACATAAAGATATGGTCCATGTTTCAAGAGTTAGGAATGGATGAAAGAAAGAAAGAAAGAAAGAAAGAAAGAAAGAAAGAAAGAAAGAAAGAAAGAAAGAAAGAATAAGTAAATAGTTTGGGATTCTGGCTTTGTTGGAGATAAGCAGATGACCTTGGACAAGGTAATTAACTGTTCTGGGATGCTGTCAATTCTCTACAAAATGAAGAGAATAAAAACAGCTGCCTAATTGTGGGAATGAAATACGTTAATGTAAGTTAAGCACTCAGGTCAGGACCTGACACTTAATGAGACCTCCCAGTGGACGGGAGTGATTGTTATGATGATTTGCATGATTGTTTCCTGTATTCAGTACTCTCTAGTGCCTGAGCTTCTTCTAAGACATCTGCATTCTCTGTGCTTTACAGGACAGCAGGTCCTGGGCTTGGTAGAGAACCAGAGCGACTGGTATCTTGGAAACCTATGGAAAAATCACCGGCCATGGCCAGCCCTAGGAAGGGGCTACAACACAGGTAAATCATACAGGCAATGTGGGTGGGGGTAACAGAGGGTGATGCCTATGTTACGGTGCTGAAACCACTGAGAAGGACCACTCAGACTCCAGGTGTTCTGAATTAGCCGAATTTTGTTTAGCTGGCAAGCAACTGCACTCTCTGGGTCAGGATTTGGAGAATGCAGTTCTGACTGACTCAGAGCAAAGTAAAACTTTTAAAGGCAAAACCAAGTGGTTGGTACAAGATTTACTCAAAAACAAGCAGTCACATGTTTGTTCCTGTAGGTGTGCAAGCAAGCAGTTACAGAAGCCATATAAGCAAGTAGTTACAAAATCCAGATAAGTCTTAACTGAAACCTTCCAGGATTTTATGGGTATGTTTTCCTGGGGTCAGCTCTTCCTGGCACTGCCAGCTCTGGGCCAGGGCAGGGTCTGGGAAGTCCCACCAAGATGGCAGTGTTACACAAAATGGAGGAGCTCAGGCTATCATACTTACACTCAGAGAAAGGAGATGGGTAACAACACAGAGGAGGCCACCTGGCTTCCTGATTTCAACAGTGCACAGGACATAGACAGGTTATCCCTCCCAATATTTCTTCATGTCACACTACAAGCAGTGTAGCAGTTGCACTGTGGCAACCTGGCAGGCTTACCAGAAAGCTCCTTTGTTGACCAACATGCCTGGAATTTTTATCGGTTTGACCTGTCATTTCATTGACGATCAATGGAGACCAGATATTCTGCAAAAATAACTTCAGCATTTCACTGTCTATACTAAACAGATTGTATTAGTTATTTTTCTGCTGCTATGAGAAAATACCATAACCAAGGCAGCTTTCAGAAGGAAGAGTTTATTGGGCTTATGGTTTCAGAGGGATAAGAGTCTGGCTTGGCAGGAGGCAGCCAGAGCAGAAAGCTGAGAATTCCAATCTCAAGCATAGAGAGCAAAACTAGAGTTGAGACAGGGCTATGAACACCCAAAGCCTGCCCCCAGTGACATGCTTCCTCCAGCAAGGCCACACCTCCTAAACCTCAGCAAACAATGACACACCAACTGGGGCCAAGTATTGAACTTCTTGGAGCCTCTGGGGGACATCCTCATTCAAACCACCACGCAGGTGTTTGTCTCTCTCCATCATAGCACATATGCATTAGAGCTAAGGGAATCACTACTCACTGTAGGTGTCAGGAATCATGTTCCTGCTTTCTTCCATGTCTGGCTAGGAAAATCATAGAGCTCGTTATTCTTTAAATTCATATTTCCTTGGATAGAGTATATCACATCCTCTCTTCTCCTGAACTTTGCAGGACAAAAAGTAGACATATTTGGAAACTGGTAGTTCTGGGTACTGCAGCCCAACTACCATCCAAAAGCTTGCTATATGATGAGTTCCCCAGATATGGCCTGTTGCCTCATGGAGTGAAAAAGTAAGGAAACAAGCCAGGCGTGGTGGTGCACGCCTTTAATCCCAGCGCTCGGGAGGCAGAGGCAGAGGCAGGCAGATCTCTGTGAGTTCAAGGCCAGCCTGGTCCACATAGTGAGTTCCAGGTCAGCTGGGGATACAGGGAGACCCTGTCTCAAGAGACCGAAAAAAAAAAAAGTAATGAAACAACCCTGTCTCCCACAGGATGCAGTTCCATCCAAATGCAATCTCTTCCATATGCATTGCCACTACTGCGGTCCCTGTTCTGAAAAACACATGCAGACTCACAGTTTTTATCAGTATTAGAACTTGGAGCTCAAGAAGCTCAGGTCCCGAGATGGACTGGGACCTGGCATCTGAGAACAGCAACTAAGCTGAGTTGGGGCAGGTACCTAAGAATAGCGTCACCTGAAGATGCTGCATAGACAAATCTGGAAGCTGTCTGTCTGTAGAGAAAAGAGCCAGAAAGTTAACACTGAGAACTGATCACGTTAGAAATAAAATCCAAGGTCCAAGGACCCCCATCAGTACCACACAAAGAACTCATGGACAAAGCAAAAGTAAGTCAGCAAGGCAGATTTTACTTTTGTAAAACGGCACCTTTGGTGCTTACTCAGATTCAGCAAACACACACCGGACCCTGAAGCTTGGTGGGCTTTTATCCCTAATGCAAGAAAACTGTCTTTTCCCCATTGACTGGGGTCCAACCTCACAGTCTTTCTTTCCTAATTGGCTGATTTTAAGAAAATGGCTTGAAGGGGGAAGGGCTCCACCATCCCAGGCCATCAGGCTCAGGAATGCATCAGGGCCTTTCCTTAAACAAGTATGGTGGGATTAAAAGGTAAGAATTCCTTGTCATAAACCAAGGTCCAAGTTTTTCAGGGTTTGAAAGAAAAGACTAATATTTAATGTTTCTTACAATAGTCAGACTCCGGAGATGTCAGTGTTAATCATGAGAGGCCCCAAGATGAGAGTTCAGAAATGGGCCAAAGTTGAGGTTAGAGCTGGAAGAAGGAAGGGGACAAAGGGCCAGCATTGGTGTCTGGAGCAGCCAGATGTGGCAGCCAGGGAGCTCGTGTTGCAGGCCATCCTTGGGGAATAGCGAGATTCCTTAGCTGACAGGTGCCAGAGCATCAGCCCTGCCTCATTCTATATATTTCTTGTCAACCTCATAGACATAGCATAGAGATTGCAGTTAAAGAACTGTAACCACCAACTCTTCAAGGCCCAAAGTTTATCCTAAAGGCTCCCCTACTAAACTGGGCATTACCCTTTAGTTGCTGGATAGTAGGAGAACCCAAGAACTCCCTGAGAGGGTTAGGGATGGGGAACTGGGGTTAAGGAGGAATCAAGCAGCAGCTCAGTGCTTCTTTTTGCCTACTGGGTATTAGCCAGATGCTGCGTTAGGTGCTGTGTAGGTGTTAATCTCCTCTGATCCTCATGCTGTGCTGATCTGTATTCTGTACAGAGTCTATATGCTTAGAAATGTTAAAACCATAATCCACATAAGTAAGGAAGCCTGCAAGGTTAAGTACTGACCTTTCTACTTCAGATTGAATGGCTTCGGGATCAAAGGCTTATTGTTTTGGTTTAGTTTTAGATCTTTGAGACAAGTCTTGTGTAGCCCAGGTTAGCCTAGAACTTGCTATATATCCCAGGCTGCCCTTGAACTCACGGAACTCCTGCTTTCACTTCCCAAGTGCTGCCATTACAGGCACATGCTACCATATCTGACACAAATACTCTTTTAAAATGAAGTATCCTAGGTTCTGCCTTTGAATAGTCTGGCTGGATCTGTGAAGGGATCTAAGACTTTGATGTTTCTGGAGTGGAATGTCCAGACCCCTGTTCTAGTGAAATGTGGCATGCTTTTCTCCCTCCCAGCAAGCACACCAGGAGTCAGAGTCAGTCTCTCTCTCTCCTCTTTCATGCCCCCCCCGCCCCGGCAGCCCCCATGTGCACTTGTGTAGATGCATATGTATATGGATTCAACCTCTGGTGTAATCCACTTTATCTTTTGAGACACGGTCTCTCACTGGAACTCAGGGCTCACCAATTAGGCTAGGCTGGCTGACCAGCAGGAATCTACCTGTCTGCCTCCCCATCGCTGGGATTACAAGCAATACACCACCATGCCTGGCTTTTTGTGTAGGTGTTAAGGATTGAACTGAGGTCTTCATGCTTGAGCAGCAAGCAGTTTACTAACTGAGCCATCTATCTCCTCATCTCCATGGGTGGTGTGTTTTTATTGCATATTAGGTTGGATGCTATATTATCCCACAGTGAGCCAATGAGAAGGCCCCTTGTGCCTGATTGTCCAGGCTTTCACAGAGCGACAGGCACTACTGTTTGTTGGATGAAAAAGGGAAGTCTCAGATAAAGCCTGCTATGCACACTTCCTTTTATTTCTCAGAACATATGCTAATAGAAAACATCACGTGGAAATAAACAACAGTGCCTTAAGGATGCAGTGTCGGGTCCTGGTTATCTGAGTGAAACAAAGAGCACTGGTCATCAGTCCAGGTTTTCAGAGAGAAGAGAAATGTAGTACCCTGGAGAATTTATGATGACAAAATGGCATCCCCTTTCCCCATCCGCTACAGAATGTGGTGATGTGCAAGCATCTTAACCACTTGCAGATCCTACTTGACATGCCAAGACAGTGAGTTACCTCCCGTCTGTGCTGGTACTGAAAGGGCAGAGCAGATGGGGGAGCGCCCGGGGAGATGTGATGTGTCCATTTCAATAAGCCAGTGACACCAAGTGATCATTATGAAAGGATTTATGCCACATCAAGATGCCATGGTTTTCAAGATGACAATCTGTTATAATTTTTTTGTAGATTTTGTATTGAATTTTTGTGTTTCATACAGAACATATTAATCATCTTTATGCCTCCTTCCCTATTGGCCCCCACCCATAGTAACCCTCCACTGGTATTCATGCATCTCATCATTTGTGTTAAGGCCTATCAAGTCAAGTTAGTGTCCCCAGACATCCCTCAGTGAAAGTTCATCCACTGTTGTCTAGTCAGCCTATCTATAATCCTTCTCTTTAAGAAGAGTAATTCTTTCTCACCCAGCAATAATCAACTTCCAGTCTTTCTTCAGCTGAGACTGGGGCCTATGGCCCATTTCCACAGTCCTACGCTGGGTTTTTGTCTGCTTGAGTTTGCATGGGTCTTGTGCCTGCTGACACCGTTGCTGTAGGTTCACATGAGCAGGGTCCCAGGAGCCTGTAGGGCTGTTTCCATATGGTCATGTACCTCCTTCCTGGCTCTTTACAGTCTTCCTTCCCCTCTTCTGCAATGATCCCTGAGCCCTGTGTAGGTGGAGCTTAATAAAGGAGTCCTGACCAAGGACCCATACTCTGCAGACTCTTACTCTCTACACTTTGGCCATTTGTGACCTTTTGTGTTCCTGGCCCTCTGTTGCATGAGGGAGCTTCATTAATGAGAATTGAGAGATGTGATCTGTTATTTTAAGACCAAGGATCATGCCTCATGTCAGTGGGCGAGTCATCTAGACATTTAGATTCTTAGGGAAACTGAGGACTCAGCTGGAGGAAAACTACCCCCGTAAATCCCTAAGAATCT